GGAGAGAGAGAGCTAGACAGAGAGCCAGCAGAGACGATAGAGAAGAGAGATAGACGAGAGGAGAGCGAGAGAGAGAGAGAGAGAGAGGAGAGAGAGAAGAGAGAGCCTAGACAGAGAGAGAGAGAGAGAGAGAGAGAGAGAAAGAAAGAGAGAGAGCTGAGCGAGACAATGTGGACATTGACAGACGTAGATGGTGACTCTGCTCCAACTATAGCTGTTAGACACTCACCGATGGTTGTCACTGGCTTTCTGAACGGCAGCAGCCCGAACGTGTAGTTGAACACACCACGGCCGTGGAAGATCGGAGGGGCAAACCCTAGATACTTGGTCAGCACGTTCTGTATGTTCCGCAGCAAGGAACCTTCAGGGTTCTCTGTTTGATCAAACACGTCGTTCTCCCCAAACGAGTAGACTGGCACCAACGACGCCCTGCAAGGCGAAATCAGCAATGAAAACCCACGCAAAGACAAACTGGTCGCGAGAGAGATGGGCGAGACTAGCAATTCAAGCAAGTCGTCCCAGTTGGCAAATAACTGGGAATAATGCAAATAACGCAAATATGAGTCACGATAACATGACATACATCTGTGTACTGCAGCTAAGGTAGAGGTATATAACAGCTAAACGTTGTCGAAAACTAAAACTAACATGTAATTTAGAAGAAAGGTTAGCACTGCTATCATCCCGTGACGGTACTAGGACCAATCTTATGATTAATTATTGTTCCGATGACGCACCCACGCCCACCCCTCGTTGTCTCGGATATTTTTCGAATACACGTCGCTGCATACGCGTGACGTCACCACGCTGTGTACGCACGATGCGGTGACGCGCGCAGACGTACCCGTGTTTCAGCGCCATCTTGACGAACCCTTTGCGGGTCTTCAGCTTCACGTTGAAGCCACCCGGGTGCGCTTCGAGCGCCTCCACGGCGCCACCTACGATGATGACGGCGGCGTTTCCTTTGCCTTCCTTCGTGAGAATCCACTCTATGCTCTCCTTACTCACGCTGCACACACCTGTAAAGAGAGACAGCAGTGAGAAACCTTACTGTTATTTGCTGGCGGGGCTTTCCCCAGCTAAGTAACGATGAATTGTTACTAAGGCGAGTTGTGTAGAATAACCTCAGAGTAGAGAGAGCTCTGATAGTAGATAGTAGATAGTAGATAGTAGATA